GATTACTTTTGATTGACATTTGATAGAGTGTTCATATTTGACACAATATGCCAAAAATAACGACATCCCATCCACTTAGACACCAAAAGCGGGGGGACCACCATTCTTTGAGTTTGCTTGTAAACGTTGTGATCCACTATCACCTGCATACTGTGTTTATTTCATGCTCAAGAGGATGCTCTGAGTACTATCAATTTTTAAAACTAGACAGGCTAGTAACAAGTAAGTTGATGTCACAGGAATTTTTCGTAAATTTGTGGTGTTCTTATGACCTTGTTGACAAATATAGCCAAACATTAGGTCATATTTTGGCTGATGTGCATGTTTCATACAAATTGATAGGGCTGGGCAATAATATCGATATTTCAATATATTGCAATACAATGACAAAAAATATCGTATCGCAATACGATTTTGTAATATCGATATATTGGCAATATGCTTAAATTAAGGAATTTTAGCATTAAATATAAAAATGGACTTATGAAAGTTTGTTATTAAGCCAAACAGTAAGTCAGAAGTTGTTTTGTGGGAACATTTCAGAGCATAACTTAAATGAAATCAACAAGATTTTTTTTTCGTGTTGGTTACTTATCATAGTTATGTACATTCTGCATGTAAATTAAAGTAAATATAGTAAGAAAATGCCATTTTTATTACATTGAAAATATTGCAATACATATCGCAATACAGTTAAAAATATCGCAATATATCGCAATACGAAATCTCGGGCCAATACCCAGCCCTACAAATTGATAGGTCTTTATTGTCCCCTGCTTTCTGCTAAAGCCAAGGGACATTAAGTCTCATTCGTCTGTCTGTCCCAAAATTAAACTTAAACATTGGTAATATTTTTTGAATGAGAAGAGATAGGACTTTCATATTAAGCATATGAAATTCATGCGTATAATCTGAGACAAGACCTTGCTAAATACACTACGATTTTTGACCTCGTGGCCTTGACATTTGACCTGCTTAAAAAAAAATTACTGTAAATTTGCAATAACTTTTGAATGAGAAGAGAAAGGGCTTTCATATTAAAACTGTATATTACCCGTAAAAAAGACATTTCTAAATTTACTATGATTTTTGAATTTGATGTTTGGCCCTACGTTTCAAAAACTTTCACCTTGGTCATAAATTTTGAACAAGAAGAGATGGGGCTTTCACATGTAAAGTAGCTGTGACAAGACCTTTCTAAATACACTATTGTGTTTTGTCCCATGACCCTGAACCTTCACCTACTTTTCAAAAATGTACCTTTTTCTTAATTTTTTTAAAGAGATAGGGCTTTCATATTTGGCATGTGCATTACTTGTGACAAGATATTTTTGAGCATGCTATGATTTCTGACCCTTGACCTTCATGGTTAACCTCTATATTTCCTAGGGTCTAAGTTTTAAGCGCTGTTCAAAGATTTGATTCCAAGACCAATTACTGTTCATTTTCTTCACCTCTTTCATTCTAATTAGCCTACATGATTTGGTGCACAGCTGACCTGCCCTGCCGGGATAAAGAGATCTTTTGTGATTGCAAGGGCAAAGACAGTTTGGCTATCAGCCTGGATAAGTCAGTTGGTAGAGCATCTGACAAGTTTATTTAGGGGCCCTGGGGTATTTTCACAGTCCAGCAGCTATACATTTCCTCCTTTCATGCTGCATATTTTGATGCGATTGTGTCTAAATTCTAAAACATTTTGTTCTCTCTTCTGAAAACAATGCTTGACCAGGCAGTTTACCACAAATGTTCAATCTGTGTATAAAATTTGATGACCATCAGTTTGAGATATTGGTTGCAAACATGAGACCATTGGTTTATTTTCCAACCCACCATCAACCAGATCTACCAACAAGGAGGTGGACAGCAATATGCCTCCTCTTCAACTGCAAGGGAGAATAAGATTATAAATTTTACTCAGATCAAAAGTTTGATGTCTGATAAAATAAATAAATAACATTCAATAGTAGGGACCGAGTCCCAAAAGTTTTTGTTTCTATGGATATGATTACACAATAAATGCATATTGTAGATGAGACTGGTATTTAAAATGATTCTTTTAATGAATAACAAAGGAAATATTAATATATCAAATTTCTATCAACGTTCATCATGTTCATAATATTTCATTTTGAAAGGGGTGGGGGTGGGTCTTGATAAAACCATTTGAATGTTAAGTTTTTTATCAGACATCGAACTTTTGACCATAAATTATCAAACCACGAAGAATTCACCACACAGAGGATTTTATTGGACTCTGATATCTCAAACATTACATTTGTGTTCAGACTTCTAGTTAATTTATAATACATTCAATTTCACTTTGACTCTCCATACAACCAGTAACAGACAGATGACATATAAATTAAAAACTCCAGATTTTGACCAAGTACTACAATACTTACAAATCATAAAAAAACAGTGATTATTTTAAAATCATTACGGATACCCAGGGCTTAGCTACAAAATGCATTCTTGTGTTAAAAAAGATAACAAAAATTACAGTATAAAGCCTACTTTGAAAAAGTGTTAAGGGGGAAAAAAAAGGTTGCTTTTGCCTAGTATGAATGAAATTTATTGGGGGAATATCTACCATAGTACAATACAAAACTACATCAAATATTACTTCTCCTAATGTGGGTGTTTACAACTAAATATTGTACTGTCGCTGTTAGTTTCTCAATAAATATAATCACAACAAATGTTATATGATTTTGACTTGTTCAACAAATAAAAAAAAAGGAATAACAGTGTTTAAGACCCTTTAAATATAGCATACATACTACTAAATTTCTCTCTCACACATTCAATTTTTTCTCTCATTCAATTTCTCTCTCTTTCTTCTACAGAGATCCCTATAACAAGTATAGCATGTATTACACGTAGCATAATGATCATTTTACCACATCAGAAAAAAAAAAAGAAGAAAAACAATTTGCACAAATCTTATCCTGCTAATGTTGACGCATATATCCAAACAAAATGAATAAATGACATAAAAATATTTCAATACCACGTTGACATTTTTTAACAGTCCACTTCAAACCAAACTTCTGACAAATAAAAAAGCAATATTATTATCGTAAATTAAGGATATTGTTATACAAAGACAAAGAAATTCTTATTTACATAATAATATTAATACATGTACAACAAGGAATTAGATTTTCTGCCATTGTGTACATTTTTTTCTGATGCAATTATGTATATTAATTTATCATCATGATCAAAAAAAAAAAAAACAACAACAAAATAATTCATTACAAAGACATTGGCTATCCAGTTTAATTTCAAAATCAGTTAAATTGCAAATTATAACAATGCTTCCCAGAAAAGGTGTGTTTTTGTAGAATTTTACAGTTAATTTTTCAATAAATTGTGTTAGAAAGAGAGAAACATTGTCATGACTACTACAATCATAATATTTAATAATAAAAGTTAGTTAAAAGCAAAGAAAGCATCTGCAGGAATTTACCAGCAAAAGCTCTAATATTAAAAAGCCAAAAAGCTTCCTTTTTTTACAACTATCATGTTGCCAAATTAACACAAATATCACCCAGCATTCATACACTGCTACAGATCTCGACTTTCCAACACCTGACCATTATCATTTTCAACCAAAATATCTCTATCTTCCACTATATGTTAACTTTTTTCCACACTAACATAAAACTAGTTGAAAAAGAGAATACAGATTTTACCAAATGTACTTTTCAACTTTAACAGAATTTTTCTCAGACATGCTTGAATATCATGAGCATTCTGTTCATTCTATCACATAAATTTTCTTAATTCATCTTAAGAATCCTTGTTCTCATCAAATGTTGCTTTAGCGGCCTGCGGTAGCAGCTGCTGTTGCTGTTGACTGAGCAACTTGTGCTGCTTTTTGTTTCAACATTGTCCAATCAAATGTGTAATCGTACTGATAATTCAGGGTTCGGAAGAGAATTCGGAATAGTTGCCGCAGGTACATGTAATCGGGAGCCTCTTCAAAGCGCAGTCCACGGCAATAGTTTAGATACATGGCAAACTCGGCTGGGAAACCTTTGCACAGAACTTCGACGGGTGTGGACATCTTTTTCTCACTGATTTTTTCATACTTTTGTTTCTTTGTGTTGGCTTTAAGTCCTTGCCATGGTAAACTACCACGGTTGAAGTACATCAAAACGTATCCAAGGGATTCCATGTCATCTCTTCGGCTTTGTTCAATTCCTAAATGTGCATTGATACTTGCATACCGGGCTGTTCCAGTGAGATTTTTGTCTTCTCTGTATGCGATGTGGGTGCGCGTTCGGCTATCTCTGTACTTTTTGGCCAATCCAAAGTCAATAAGGAAAACCTTGTTGCAATGGCGACCTATTCCCATGAGAAAGTTGTCTGGCTTGATATCTCTGTGGATGAAATTCTTGTTGTGGACATATTCAATTCGGCCTATCATTTGATCAGCAAGCATTAAAACGGTTTTCATTGTGAATCTTCGAGAACAGAAGTTGAAAAGATCTTCAAGACTTGGCCCCAACAGATCCATCACAAGGATATTGTAATCTTTTTCTTGGCCATACCAACGAATATGAGGAATTCCCACACCACCCTGAAGAATCTTATACAGTTTACTTTCATATAGTAATTGGGGGTGTCGAGCTTTGGTTGATTCAAGCTTTACAGCTACCTCTTCTCCATTTGTTATGTTGATACCAAGATAAATGTCTCCAAACGACCCACTGCCTATTTTTCTTACCAAACGATACTTTCCACCTACCAGGAACTCGCTTTTCTGATTTGATCCACCAGCGCTTTCCATCTTGAAGAAATTTATCACAATATTTTTATTACAGAGTCTTGAAAATGGGAAGAATTTTTGTCCCAAAATATGGTGATATTTTAGTTTGGCTCGGTTGCCATTTTGAGAGGGCTTGTCGTTGTCGTCGCAATAGATTACCCAGAATTCCAATTCCCACTCGACGAGCTACGCATGTGTAACCGGAAATGTTGACTTAACTAATTTAAACTTCCTGTGTGAAGAAAGATGAGGTGATAGGCTGAAAGTGAATCACTGCTTTAACTGTTTACGATAGATCTTGCCGACAAATCAAGGGAAAATGAAGCGACCTGTTGTTGTGCCTCGTCAGGAATCTCTCATGTATCCAATTGTAAAAAATCCGTTCGTGCATAATCTGCAATTTACTACGCTAGATATTGTTAGAGTAAGTTCTGATTCATGTTTTCAAATTCATTGAAGTTTCATTTTGATCGTGTTGATATATAGTTTTAATGCAAAATGTATGCAAACATTTAAGTAAAAATAAAACTTTTAAACCATAATATTTAAAATGTTACAAAGCTCTACAAAGTGTCATCTTTATTTCTGCATGTCAAAAGATAATGGCATAATCATGTTATTCGCTTCGCGAATGGAATATGTTTGACGTTGTACACGTTAACGTCATTTCTTATATAAGAGGGATTCTAATGATGTTATACAGTTTATATTATTATTTTCGAATATTTAGTAGTATTGACTACTATTTCAGGAAATAAAATAATACGAGAGAGAGAGAGAGAGAGAGAGAGAGAGAGAGAGAGAGGTCCAATGCTGGATTCTTTAGATAATCGTTCATATATATGAAGAATGGGTGACGAATGAAATGCCATGGGTATATATATACAGAGACAACATTCTAAAATTTTATAAAAGGGGAGATTTTCAAAGGAAAAGGGTTCGTTTTAAATATATATGAAGAACAGGTAGCGAATCAAATAACATGAGTATATATATACAGACGCAACATTCTAAAAAGCCTCTGAAAGGGGAGATTTTCCCCGGAAAAGGGTTTCTTTGGGGGTAATTCAGATAAAAATGGGGCTTGGATTTTTTGGGGGTTTCATTCTTAAAATGATCATTTTTCAAATGATCAAGGTAAATTATAGGGAGCGAATCAAATAACATGAGTATATACCGACACAATTATCCCCTTTTAATACTTTTCACGTAAACTGAAGTATATAATACCACAAAAAGAAAATACATATAAAGAAGTAAGTTTTTAGATACGCTATTAATTCCGTATGAACAGCAGACAATTAATTACAGGTAGTAAAATAAATGTTGCTATTTATTCCGTAAAATTTTATATCTAAATTTATATCATTTACGGAATAAACAAAATTTTATTTTCCCCTTTTAATGCTTTTCACGTAAACTGAAGTATATAATACCAAAAAATGAGAAAATACATATAAAGAAATTAGTTTTAAGATACGCTATTAATTCCGTATGAACAGCAGACAATTAATTAATTACAGGTAGTAAAATAAATGTTGCTATTTATTCCGTAAAATTTTATATCTAAATTTATATCATTTACGGAATAAACACAATTTTATTTTCCCCTTTTAATGCTTTTCACGTAAACTGAAGTATATAATACCACAAAGAGAAAATGCATATAAAGAAATTAGTTTTAAGATACGCTATTAATTCCGTATGAACGGCAGACAATTAATTAATTGCAACTAGTAAAATGAATGTTGCTATTTATTCCGTAAAGTTTTATATCTAAATTCATATCATTTACGGAATAAACACATTTTTTAAAATTTAGCTTATTGATGACTTAATGAGAAAATAAATAATTGAATAAAGTTTGTTATTTATTCCGTTAATTTTAATTGAAATTTATGGATATGGTCTAATTGACTCTCATGCAAGGAAAAACAGAACTTGCGGCGGTATTTACTCATGTTATTTGATTCGCTCCCTATAATTTGCCTTGATCATTTGAAAAATGATCATTTTAAGAATGAAACCCCCAAAAAATTCCAAGCCCCATTTTTTATCTGTATGTCCCCCAAAGAAACCCTTTTCCGGGGGAAAATCTCCCCTTTCAGAGGCTTTTAGAATGTTGCGTCTGTATATATATATACTCATGTTATTTGAATCGCTACCTGTTCTTCACATATATATGATCGATACGGTCTAATTGACTCTAATGCAAGGAAAAACAGAACTTGCGGCGGTATATACTCATGTTATTTGATTCGCTCCCTATAATTTGCCTTGACCATTTGAAAAATGATAATCTTAAGTATGATCCCCCCAAAAAAACCAAGCCCCATTTTTTATCTGAATGACCCCCAAAGAAACCCTTTTCCGGGGAAAATCTCCCCTTTCAGAGGCTTTTTAGAATGTTGCGTCTGTATATATATACTCATGTTATTTGATTCGCTACCTGCTCTTCACATATTTATGATCGATACGGTCTAATTGACTCTCATGCAAGGAAAAACAAAACTTGCGGCGGTATATACTCATGTTATTTGATTCGCTCCCTATAATATGCCTTGATCATTTAAGAAATGATCATTTTAAGTATGATCCCCCCAAAAAAACCAAGCCCCATTTTTTATCTGAATGACCCCCAAAGAAACCCTTTTCCGGGGAAAATCTCCCCTTTTAGAGGCTTTTTAGAATGTTGCGTCTGTATATATATACTCATGTTATTTGATTCGCTACCTGCTCTTCACATATTTATGATCGATACGGTCTAATTGACTCTCATGCAAGGAAAAACAGAACTTGCGGCGGTATATACTCATGTTATTTGATTCGCTCCCTATAATTTGCCTTGATCATTTGAAAAATGATAATCTTAAGTATGATCCCCCCAAAAAAACCAAGCCCCATTTTTTATCTGAATGACCCCCAAAGAAACCCTTTTCCGGGGAAAATCTCCCCTTTCAGAGGCTTTTTAGAATGTTGCGTCTGTATATATATACTCATGTTATTTGATTCGCTACCTGCTCTTCACATATTTATGATCGATACGGTCTAATTGACTCTCATGCAAGGAAAAACAAAACTTGCGGCGGTATATACTCATGTTATTTGATTCGCTCCCTATAATATGCCTTGATCATTTAAGAAATGATCATTTTAAGTATGATCCCCCCAAAAAAACCAAGCCCCATTTTTTATCTGAATGACCCCCAAAGAAACCCTTTTCCGGGGAAAATCTCCCCTTTTAGAGGCTTTTTAGAATGTTGCGTCTGTATATATATACTCATGTTATTTGATTCGCTACTTCCTCTTCACATATATATGATCGATACGGTCTAATTGACTCTCATACAAGGAAACACAAAACTTGCGGCGGTATATACTCACGTTATTTGATTCGCTCCCTATAATTTGCCTTGATCATTTGAAAAATGATCATTTTAAGAATGAAACCCCCAAAAAAACCAAGCCCCATTTTTTATCTGAATGACCCCCAAAGAAACCCTTTTCCGGGGAAAATCTCCCCTTTTAGAGGCTTTTTAGAATGTTGCGTCTGTATATATATACTCATGTTATTTGATTCGCTACCTGCTCTTCACATATTTATGATCGATACGGTCTAATTGACTCTCATGCAAGGAAAAACAAAACTTGCGGCGGTATATACTCATGTTATTTGATTCGCTCCCTATAATTTGCCTTGATCATTTGAAAAATGATCATTTTAAGAATGAAACCCCCAAAAAAACCAAGCCCCATTTTTTATCTGAATGACCCCCAAAGAAACCCTTTTCCGGGGAAAATCTCCCCTTTCAGAGGCTTTTAGAATGTTGCGTCTGTATATATATACTCATGTTATTTGATTCGCTACCTGTTCTTCACATATATATGATCGATACAGTCTAATTGACTCTAATGCAAGGAAAAACAGAACTTGCGGCGATATATACTCATGTTATTTGATTCGCTCCCTATAATATGCCTTGATCATTTGAAAAATGATCATTTTAAGAATGATCCCCCCCAAAAAAAAACCAAGCCCCATTTTTTATCTGTATGTCCCCCAAAGAAACCCTTTTCCGGGGAATATCTCCCCTTTCAGAGGCTTTTTAGAATGTTGCGTCTGTATATATATACTCATGTTATTTGATTCGCTACCTGTTCTTCACATATGTATGATCGATACGGTTCTTTCATTTTTTTTCATACCTATTCCGTTATCATACAAGACAGAATTCTCCTTTTATTCTCCATATATTTTATTTCCTTAAATCATTGATAATTTTTATTAACGAATGCTAAAACATGATTAAAATCATTCCTATACAGGTTTTGACGTTAACGTGTACAACGTCAAACTTATTCCATTCGCGAAGCGAATAACATGATTATGCCAAGATAATAGATCTTAATTCTTATGAATTTTCAAATATTCAGCATGACTTGATATTATGGGAGGGGGTTCATATCAAACTACATTAACCATCTGCACAGCTGGCTCCAACAATTGCATCTACTGTATTTGTTTACAATGTCAGTTTATATCATTCTGTTAAGTACATGTACACAACAACTGCCCTTGGGTTAAAATCATGACAAACCCAGTGAATCCAAAGAAATGAAATCATTTGGACTTGTATTAATGTATACTAAATATAGATGATCTAGTTAAAGTTTGACATAGGACTGCAAATCTTGCTGGAAGACTTGATGATTTTGCAACTTCCTTTTTAAAGAAAGATTTTTTTTGGGGGGGGATGCATCTTTGTTATTGAATTGTCTTCAGTTTGTTGTTGGGGTTTATTGCATCTGCACTGCAGTGTTTGAAAAAAAAAACAAAAAAAAAACATTGTGTTCAAGGATTCTTTCATCAACACATTTATTTAGATACTAGTATAGGCTTAAATATTTTGTCAACTTTCTTTTTGTATAGATTAATAAAAACATTTAGTATGTAAGCTTGCATTAGTCTCCAAATTTAGCCTTGCAGACCTTCAATTTTGCTTAGAAAACTATAAGAAAATCATGTTTAGATGAATTGAACATTTTTCAACATATCATATTTATGCAAGTACAGAAAGGAATATATATTTTTTTCACACATGTGTGTAATTATATAAGCACTCAACTCAAGTATTAGATTCAGGAAACATTTATTCTTAACTTTGAAGTTTTTTAAACTAATTAAAATGCAGGAAGGTATTTGTCAGCTAAAAAGTAGAAGTGATAAAATCTGTATATAGACATAAGGAAATGTAGAAAGGGGTTTTACTGATTCAGAAGATATACATGTATTAAACAAGAGATGTATAGGGATGGGTATCGCCAAAAATTTTGTATTGCGATATATCACAATAATATCATGATATTTTTAAAAGCAGTTTTTACAATGATTTTATATGAAAAGTCATTTATTTTTCTAAAAAATATGCTAGAAAAACCAAATTTTACTTTCTTGAAATTTTTATGTATATAAAATCAATTATGTTTGGACAGTAAGATGCCATTCTTTTCACTTTTTTCAACATTTTTTATACTTTCTGTAATTGTAATTTGGAAAGATTGAACAAATAAATGAATAATTTCTTGACTTTATAATATGTACCTAATGACTGGTATTTAGGTGTCCGCATCATGATACATATCACTCAACAAAAAATCGCGATATACCAGTATACTGATAAAATCGCACATCCCTAGAGATGTATGAATGAAAGCTTTATCCTTTTCATCATGTTCAAGGCATACCTTTAAGACTTTATTGAAATTATAGTTGCAGTGTTTACTTACCAGATTTCTTCATTTTTTAGATGATTTCACTTGACAGCATTATTTTTCTCATAATGAACAATAAATTTTATAATGCCCCCCCCCCTTTTGAAGAAGGAAGGGCTTATTGCCTGGTAGCTGTCTGTCAGTCCACCAACACTTTCTGTTCATTTTCTTTGCAAGGGTTGCACATACTAAAATGAAATTTGCTATACAGATTTATCATGAGAATGTCTAGGCCAGAGTCTGTTTTGGGTTTGATCCTGCAATTTTTGACAGAGTTACACCCCTTGGACTTAGAAAAATTCCAAATTTTTATGGAAGGGCAAAAGTGTTTCACAAACATCTCTTGTTAATTATTGTAACACTCTGTATGTGCTGACAAATTTCATTGTAATAAACTGTAATATACATTGTAATAAACTGTAATATACACAGGGTTCGAAATTAACTTTTTTTAGCACTAGTCCGCACGGACTAGTGACTTCTAGCTTCCACTAGTCCGCAAGCTATTCCACTAGTCCGCCCTATAATATGTAAAAAGAACAATACAAATCTTAAAATTTTATCAATTAATTCAATGAAATATGTGTCCACACATCAGTTGGAAGCATGTGGTGAAAGAAAGAGGGTTTTCAACTTTCAGAAATCTCCACATGGTCACGTCTTTGTCTATTGATCACAATGTAGAAAACGCTTTATCGGGTTGCGTTTCTCATTTATTTTCAAACATCTAAGAGACTCGGAAATAAAATTAATAAAATGTGAACCAATTCAAGACTTATATCCGGATTTGCACTGGTCCGTACGGACTAGTACCTTACAAAATCTGCTAGTCCGACACAATTTTTACTAGTCTCGGACTTACGGACATGAGTTAATTTCGAACCCTGTATACATGTATGTAAATGAATTTTCAGATAGCGATTATGTCGGTCACTATAGCACCTGTAAGACTGGTCTCCTTGTCCCTGCTATTTGGACTCGCCTGGTTACTAGCAAAGATTTCATTGGCTTGGAGAACACCAGAAGAAAAAGAGAAACCATTAGAAGGATGGAGAAAGTAAATATTTAGGAATTAAAAACGTTTCAATAGTCTTGTTATAGTTTTGCTGAAGTAAAGATTTAGATAAATTACATGTAGACGACAGAAGGATTGGTATATGTACATGATGTACCATAAACTACATTGAGTGATTGACTCAGAATATTTAAATATTTCTTCAAATTACTGGGAACCTTACAAATTAACTAATTACTTAATTTAATACTTAGGCAGGCTAAGATGTGAATAAATGAAATATTATTAGATTTTCAAAAAAATATTTAAACAGTCAATAACTAAATGAAATATTTCTTTTTATCACTTCAGATGATTTTGAGCACTTATAAGTCTGTAAATTAGTGCATTATTTCATTTATGATTAGTTTTATTTTAAAATAAGGTTATGTTGTGCCTCAGTGATATTACTTTGAAATATGCTCTTGATTTGTTATTTTATTGATCTAGTATATATAAAATATACATTGAAAAGTTGGACTGCATGTTTTAAACTTTTTTATTTTCCCAAGAATGATTTTTTTTTAATTTGATAAGCTAGAATGTACATATTGATTCACTGTTATCAAAATTGCTACATTACAATCAATTGCCTAAATGTTTATAAAATATCACTGACACAGAAGATGAAAATTTAAATTTTTTTTTCCTTATTACTGTGCTGTTCTTCCTCATCCCTATCACAGGAAAGAACATCATTATGCAAGAGGAACTGTTGAATAGGGGTGTTTTAAAGTAATTCAGTTCAATTCTTTTTTATATTCACATAGAAAAACAAACAAATAGAGTTATTAGCGACTCGTACATGTATTATAAATAATAACAAAAATGTTACATTCATAAATTCTAACAAGAGTCGATATCTGAAAAAAAAAATTGGAGCTCTATTGAGTTAAGACAACATAATTTACTCCTCTATTTAATTGCAGCTGTTTTGTTCACATCACTTCATTTAATACTTTAAAATTTAAGTTAACAACCCTTACTGATTAGTGATACTTACATTTCTTTTAATATTTAATATACATAGAATGCTTAGTTTAGTATTTGACCGCCATATTCTTTGAGTAGGTATGTAGAACTATAGTTTTATATGTATATCCATACAAATGTTTATGGTACTATACTTATTTAATGCTAGTAAACACAAAATATGAATCAAATTTTTATACCTAAATATAATTAATTTATCATTTCTATAAAATCACAGGTGGTAAATTATTTTAATTTGATTGACAAAACTTGGATTATATATATTTTTTTTTAAATATAGGAAGTCTTAATCATTATTGGCATGCTTATTATGATTATGGATTGCATGCATGCCTTTGCGAATAATTCAGAACAAGATTATTGAACACTTTAATTTTTTAAAATTTATACGATATTCATTTTAAACTTTTCTTAAACTGATTTTTTTTCTTTCCTTTTTACTTTTAATGCATCAGAATTAGATTCCAAAATCATGCTCGGTGATAAAGAACAATGTAGTGGTGCAAATTTAGTAAACTTTTGACTTTTTTTTTCTTTGAAAAATGACAGAGTTCTTCATTGAAAACAGATTATTACTAAAAATACAGTTGTAAACTTGTTAACCTCATTTAACTCATATATAAAATGTCTCATGCATTTTATTTGTTGATGAAACCTAAATCTAACATCTCATTAATGCTTTGATAATAAAAATAGAGTAAGGCCAGCATTTTTTTATTTTTAGGTTTACAAACCCGCCGCTCAAGTTTTTGAATTTTCAGAAAAAAAATAAAATTGAGAAAAACAGAAGTTTTTCTTTCCGATGTCAAATTTGAGTCGGGATTTTCAAATTTACGAACTCTTACTTCCGGTTTTAAATGATGAAGGGAGATTTGTGTCAAGTCCATAGCAGCACTAAAGCTTGGTTTAATGTAAATATTTATCGATAGGAGTGCCATTCAAAATTTCACACGTTCAGAGAACAATAAAATGCTGACGACTTTGTTGCATAGTGACATGTTGGTGAGATAATTAAGTATCCGTCCGTATTCAAAAGTAACTGTCTGTAATTGTAAATTATTTTCCACAGGTTTTAAACTGCCCATGGTAGCTATTAATTGTCAGAGACATTGTTTAGGTTTCTGTCATAGCTTACAGTCTTAGCATCATTCTTCAGAAAAGGGTCGCTTATGCATCAGATGTAATGAATAAAACTATGGGAGAAGTTAAGTCCATTTGAGGAAGAAATAAACAATAGCCTAAAGAAATAAAATATTTCAACTATTTAAAAACAAGAATATACAAATATATACAGGCATGTAGTATCGCTTATGGCAGCTAGAAAAATTATTTTACACTTAATTGAAAAAAATTCCACCCTACTCCGGTCCTCAATACTCCATGGGAATACTCCCTGTCTGTTTTTATGAAAGGAATTATTACTTTTATAGGTCTCGAGTATATTAATATTTTAGAATAATTTCTACCTTACACACATTAAAAACAAAAATAAAGATATATCAAAAGAGATTTAAAAAATTGATTTAAAAAAAAAAAAATCTGTATTTTGTCCAACATCAAAAGATTTATATCACTGCCCCCAACTGGTAGATGATGAAATAAACAATTAAAGGTTGTATATTTCCCCTTTGTAACCCTTATGTGTCCAGTGGCAAGAAGCCTGTTAGGAGAGCATAAAAAAGAAGCAAAAATTAATGTAGAAAAGTCGATAATGTATCCAAAATATAATTTTTTTTTTTTTTATTTCCTCCTCCTACGGGACTTTTTCATTCTGATGTTCGTAAACCTAAAAATAAAAAAATGCTGGCCTAATATTCAAAATAAATGATTTTCTTTAATATTAAGTTATCCTGTTACTTTTTCAGATTCAGAAGTCATTGAATTATGGATTTTAATTGCACATTATTAAACAGTTACCTGCATTTGGTAGTTAATCCTTGGTGCATGCAGAGAAATAATGCCAATACATGCTCATGACTGTATTTCTACATAATTGTAATAAATGATATCATATAAACACAGATTTTAATATGCATGCATATTTAATTTTTGTTTTAAAAAATTTCTTCCATGCACTCATTTATACAAAAATATCGACTAAAAAAATTTTGTCATTAGTACTTCGAAAAATATTAATATATTATTGGCCTTACATTTGCCATCATATTTTGTTCATGAAATTTGAAAAGAAAAATTATAAACAAAAATAAAAGATCTAAGTAGATACATGTATATTCAGCTATATAGATTGACGCTTTAATATGCTGTTACCTGGCAAAAGCTAAGCATGACATTAATAATAATATATCACATTATACTATTCTGTAGGCCTTTATAAAAGTAGTACATTAATTCTGTCATAATTCAATTCATCTTATATCCAACATGCCTGTTATTTTGTAGCTCTTTACGCCCTCTAGTGGTAATTGTGAGCCGGTGTGTATTTTTTGTCGGTGGATTTCATTGGTTGACGGTTAAAGGCGAGCATCACTCGGCCAAGGAGGCCCCCATTATAGCTCTCGCACCTCATTCCTCATTTTTCGATGCCCTCGCCATCGTCTATCTTAATTTGTCCACAGTTGTTGCCAAACAGGAAACCGCTCTTGCGCCGATCATCGGAAGTATGTTTTTTGGGTTGAAGTTCTTTTTTTTTTTTCGAAATTCCTGGGACTGTTTTACTTTAATTTTTGTTTGGGAACTCCAAATGTGGTAAAATTTGGTAGTTTATTGACATAGGAAGTGGGCTGAAAAGTTGTTATGTGTTCTAGCCTTTAAATGAGATTGATAAGATAGCAAAAAAAAAAAAAAAAAAAGAAAAGAGAAGTGTAATGACCTTTTATGATATGTTACTGCCTTTTATTGTATAGATATCAATGTATGATGTGTTTTTGAAAATGCACAAATTTCCCTTTCATCAAATGACTGAAAACAAGTTACAAAACCTACACATTTTATATCCAAGTCAGTAAGAGTTGTTTCCATTGAAAAATATCTATATATTTTCTCTGCTGAATAATTGAATTTAAGTCATTTTCATACAATCATAATGATAGGCATACTTTTACGGTATATCATTTTTTGAAATCAGTCCTGTTCAAGGGAGACAACTCATGCAGATTTGAAAACCCAAATAGAACACCATATAAGGATGCATGAGGTTTCCCTGCTTACTTGTAGAAAGCATACACAAATTATAACAAAGAGCACATTGTTTAGACATTAACCTTAGATATTGTGAAAATTGCATAATGGGTAATTTCACATATTTTATTATAACTTTAAAGAGCAAAAGTTCATTGTCTCCCTACATATACATTATACCAAACATATTTACACCTAATAATAATATAATAATGTATATAATAATCAGAGTAAAACACATTCAATAGAATACATTTCATATGTATGTATGGGTAACATATGGGTAATTTCTGTCCATTGGTTTTAGAAATTCATGTTTCTGTTAATTTTAAAATAAAAAAAAAAGCAATTGAAAATATTATATCATAACATCTTTGAAATTGCACTTAAAATTGAATGGCCAGGATTGCAAATACAAAAAACAGAATGTTGTTGTTAGAGGATCAAATAAAAAAAAAATTAAATAATAAATGTAGAAGATTGAAACAACCCATTATACTGTCTTTTTTCACATTTCTCGAAAAAAAATTCCAATAGTAAGATGAATGTAATCCTTTGTGATGTGAATTTTAGGAGATTTTTTTTCTCATTTGCAATCTTATTTTTGCATGCTGCAGCAAGGAGAGCCATTTTGAGTTTGGGAGTAGTAGTCATTTTTAATTGTATTATTTGCTTTTAATGTGCTCTAGAAGCTTTAATTTGTGATATGCTTTCATTTGCTACTAACCTTAATTTCCATCCTAACCTAAAGAGCTATATTAACAAAAAACAATCTTTGTTCATTGTTATGGCACATGAAAATCATGCAGTCTTTAAACTTTTCAATGTATTGTTATGCCAAAAGAGAGAGAGAAAGAAATGCACTAATATTGGTTCTTTTTTTTTTTTTAAATTCAGAAGCAGAGATTTGAGAATGATTATCATGTTTTACAGACTCATTTTGAATTATTAGGATTTATTTTTTTTTTTTACTGCAGAATGAAAATTTTTTCTTGGATTTTTTTTTTTTGTTAATATAATTCATTATTCTAAGACAAAAAAAAAAAAAAAAGAAAAGATGATTGTTATTCTCAGCTTAAGTCTGCTCATTGCATGTTAAATAGATATTGTACTTTTTCTTGTCCTTTTTAATCAGGTTCTTGATGAGACCAATGATTATGGTGGGAAGAGCTGGTATATTTTGTACAAGTTTCCATAACGTTAAGGTCAAAGGTCATCGGTCCACCGCCAAGGAAGCGCCCCTCCTGGTAGTGGGCCCCCACTCCAGTTTTTTCGATAGTCTTGTCTTGTTTTATTGTTGGGAATTTCCATCGGTGGTGTCTAAGCAGGAAATCTCCTCCCTTTTCGTACTGGGAAGTACGTATTGCCGTTCTGTGGTGATTTACACAAAAAAAATCTAATGTGTTTTACTGCATGTTTAACAAAACATTTATAACTCTTTGTTTTTGGAGAGTTTGTGATATTAAAGAAGTTTTTCACTGAGCTCACTAAGTTTGATTAAAAATTTTGAGTTGGATTAAGAAAAAAAATATGCTGACAAAATTAAGTTACAAATTTTTGTATTGAAAAAATATACTAATTACTCTGTAGTTGCATATAAAATCAATATTGTACTTGTAATATTGGGACATATATGTTATTTTGTAACTGGTGATTATATCCGTATATAATATAAACCAAAGTACACTGTACTTGTAATATTGGGACATATATGGTACATTATGAATATAATATAAAGTACAGGATGTACATAAGCTCCAAATTAGAATCCCCAAAGAAAATTACAATGTTGAAATCTTAATTTAGAATAAGCTACCTTAATAATATTCATAAATTTATAAGACTGCATCACTTGAATTTAGTGAAGATAGGAATACAGTGCATCATTTCGAAATCTGTATACATTATTTTGTATAAGATATTTAATCTTACTTTGGGGAAAGGATAAAAAACGTGATGGAGGGCTTGGCTTAAGACAATCAAGAAGTGACCAAATTAGGGGGGGGGGGGGGGGGTGTTGCAGTGAAATAGACTGTTTAAATGTGAGTGTTGTACATATATTTAATTTTGTGTGTTTTTATGTACATTTAACAGGAAACTTAAAATAGAGGATTAGTTAGTTAGCAGTCTGGTAGGTTTCCTTTTACAGTTGAAAGATAGTTCAATGGTTTATGTCCTGTTGTTCATTAAGAAAGAATGTGAGAAGATAATCAAATCTTTTGGCCCACATGTGATAGCATGATCAGTGTAACTTGAGGATGTTTATTTCGAAAGGAAATTGTAAACTACCATTTCCTTCCCCCTAAATCAATTAAGAAGTTAAAAAAAAATATGGCAATAATATAGATATAGCCATGGATTCATATATCTGAATTCTGAATGAATGTAAAGTCAGCATGGGTTTTTTACCAGTCTAGAATTAAAAGTTCAAAATACTATAATTCCATCTAGGATACTTAATATACCATTGGGAATTACTTTGACATAATTTTTAAAAAGAAATCCCCCCCCCATTTCAAGATATTTTGTCCCATCCTGATCCTTTTCAGAGACTAAGGTTGATAAGTAGGCCCAAGCTTCAGAAAGATATGTTTTTCTTTTGTTTTTGTTTTGTGTTGCTTTTTTATGTGTAGAGAGAGGGTCTAGAAATGCCTTGTAGATTAAAATTGGCCCTGAGGGAAAATCCAAATAACCCTGCATGGTTGTTGTATGTAAAGGTTAACAGCATGTCTGATATAACACTGTAGTCCTGCACATGTATTCATATCTACTGATCTGGTGAATGCATGCTATGGGGGAAAAAAACTAAGAAATTTAAAAATGTTTCAAACTTTCATCATTAAGATGAATCAGAAGTTAATATGACAAGTCTACAAGCTTATGGTGAAGTATTCTGGCCAGTTGTTTAGCATTGCTTTTACAAACACAGAATTGTTTGTTAATATGTAGATGACAAAAATGAATCGAGGGGAGGGGGAAGGGCTTTAACTTGTTTATGTGGTTTTTGAGGGAAAAAATCCATAAAATATATAAAATTGACATTCTTTTGAAAAAAAAAATTTGAAGATCAAAATGGGTCTGGATCAAGAGCCAAGTTTTGTTTACCAACTAATTTTCTTGTTATTTTTCTCAGTGAAAATGTTTTGTTTTTTTGATATAACAGAAACAAATTACATTTATCGGTACATGTGAGTGCTAGACTATATTATCTATGAACAAAAAATACTTCTTTTTGAATTCTGCTGAAGCCAGAATATTGATGTTTCTTGCAATCAAAGTAAATGATTTAAATGTCCTTTCATCATGTTTATGCATTAACAAAAGTATGTTTTAATTAATTATTTTTATATACAATTAGCTCTTATAGAGTACACACAGCCAGTGCTAGTCAAGAGAGAGGATCCTAATTCCAGAACTAACACAATTAAGGAAATTCACAGAAGAGCTCATTCAGGGGGAAAATGGCCCCAAATCATCATCTTCCCGGAGGGAACATGTACAAATAGAAGTTGCCTTATAAATTTTAAATCTGGTAAGACACTTTTAGATGGTAAAAGTGGAAACCGTACAATACAATAAATTGTATTAGTTCTACAAGCTAGAGTATTGTGACAATTGACCATGATTGACACTGTCGAATGTTTGAAAGTTAATATTAGATATATGTCGAAGGAAGAGAGTGAGTTAAATTATAAATGTGATATTTTAAAACTTGGAAATATTTCAATTTTCTCGTGAAATTCAAGCTCTGCCCATATGAAATGGGACATTATTTTTCAGGAGTTTTTTTCCCTTCAGTATACCCACTTCAGTGACAGTATAACATATAATGTTATTGTTTATTGTAGGTGCTTTTTATCCAGGCTCCCCTGTGCAGCCTATATGTATACGATACCCAAATCAGTTTGTAAGTTTTATCATGTTTATTTTTATCCCAAAAGGAAGAACTTTCTCTGTGCATTTTTATTGTATTATAGATGTATCCCATGATGTGTAACTTTTATAATTATTGAAGTATCAGCTCTCAAAGCTATGTATTATGTTTTTCTTTTATCTGTTTGCTAATCTGGGGTTAATATAAACATGATAAATGCAGTCAGAGAAGATGTATCATCTTAAGCGATTCGATCAGTATCGATTATTTATGTTATATGTGTATGTACATGTATATAATAAAACGTATTGGAGACTTTATCTTTCGTTTTAGGATACAGTAACATGGACATGGGAAGGGCCTGGGGCGTAAGTTTCAAAATAAAAAAAAACAAAACGTTTCTTACATGTTACAACAAAATTTTCTTTTTATTTTTTCTTTTAAAAAAAAGTAAAGTGATGAAGCAATGAATATCTTTCATGTGTTATCATGCTGATAAGATGGAAAGACTCTTTAGTCTGGTTTTCTGTCTTGTTTGTAATGACTTGTTAACTAATTTATAATAATGCGCTTTTCTTTTTCTCATTTCCAGCTTTGCCTTGTTATGGTATACGTTATGTCAGTTTCACACAAAATGTGAAATTGAGGTGAGTGTCTATATATAGAATGATTCTAAAATGTTCCTGTAATTTTCCTGCCCTCTGAATAAATTCTGAAATACTGTAGTATATTGTGCACAGAATTATTAGTATAAAGTAAAATTTTCAAAGTGAGAAGTATAATATTCAAGAAAAAAATATTGCTTTAATCATCTGTTGTGTATATTGTTCTCGACCTGTAGTTTTTACCTGTGTATACGCCATCAGAAGAGGAGAAGAAGGATGCTGCATTATTTGCAGCCAATGTCAGGGCCACCATGGCAAAGTAAGTTGGCAGTCTAACTATAAATTGTGGTAAAGGGCCAATACAGTTATAGAAGATATTTGTACATAAAAATGCTAGTAAACTGAAAGAAAATTATGTCATTTTTATACGCCCGTCTTAAGACAGGACGTATTATATCATAGGCTTCGTGTCCGTCCGTCTGTCTGTTAGCTTTTTTGTTTCCGGCTCATAACTTTAATACTATTAGGTCTAGGATTATCAAACTTTGTCATCTGATGCATCTTGGGTAGAAGGTGTGTCACGCACAAAAAGTAGGTCACTCTGACCTTTAATTAAGAAGATATAGCCAAATATGGAAAAATCCTTTCCGGCCCATAACTAGAAAACAATAAGACTTAAATCATCAAACTTGGCTAGTTTATGCATCTTAGGTAGAAGGTGTGTTGCGACCTATTTCAAGGTCACTGTGACCTTTAATTTAAGTGAAATTTTTTAAAAAAATGTGTCTTATTACTTTTCATTTTCACATCCCAAATAATGTAAGAGTACTGCACTGTCCTTATTAAAAAAGTGTTAAATCAAGAAAATACTTATTTTTTTAAGCATATACTTGACAGCAATCTATAACAAATATAATGTAGGTTAGAGAAATTCCTCTACTCCCATGAGTGTAATTATCAAGCACTGGTCAAGAAGAATTTTGATAAAAGAAAATTGCATGTCAAATTAGAGAGAGATTAATGAGTTTAGTGTGAAGAGCTAACTGGCAGCTTTTCTTCGGTGCTATCTATATCCCTTGAGTATTGGGCAAATTGTTAAGCCTGTTGGATTGAAAAAGCTCTTGTTGGCTAACCTAAGTTTTAAAATTAATTTGATGAAAAGTAATTAAAACTAATTTGATATTGCATAATAGACTAATCTGATATTATATAATATCATTAATTTAAAAACTAATTTTATGGGGTGGGATGGAATCAGTATGTCCATATGACTTACATAAAAAGACCTGTCGGACATTAAATCTCAACCCAAAAAAAAATCTTTGAGTATTTTATATGTTTAAAAAAAAATTTATGGTAGATATTGCAGACCCATTCATCTCTTGGTAGTAATGAGTAGACAAGATTAATGAGTTCAGTGTAGGAAGGCTATCTGATCAAGCAGTCTTATCTGTATCCTTTGGGGATTAGACAGAAGAGCTGCTGGTCAGTTTATAGCATATGTCATTTGATGGCCAGCCTTTTCTTTTCAAAATTAATTTGGTATAGATTAAGGTGTTAAGACTAATTTGATATTGTTTAATATGATGGGCATTTGACAAGGTCTAACACAACCAGCATAGAAGTCTATCAATGATGTAATATTTATTTTAATTAATGCCTACATCACAGGGGATGGATAAATATTTTCAGGAATGGAAAAATCATGGAAATCTTAAAAAGGTTGACCTGATTTTCTTGCACACTAAACTGTTCAAGAAAATTGTAATTTTTTGACAGGTGTATCATGCTGTGGCGTGGCACTTTATTTTTATTTTCTATTTGAGTAACCAAATTCAAGTGTTAATATGTTGATTAAAGATAATTTATATGCCTCCTTTTTCCAGAGCCCTTGACATTCCTGTAACTGATCATTCCTATGATGACTGCAGATTGATGCAGAAAGCAGCTAAACTCAAGCTCCCTAAAGCTGAAGGACTTGTCGAGTTCATGAAGTTAAACAAAAAACTAGGGTATGATCCTGTCACTTTACTGAACTTCAGTAAATGAGAGATTCAGATTAAGGTCCAATTAAATTTAAAATTGTGGCAGTCAGTGTTTGTGGGTAAACAAAGTTTCACATATTGATCAGAATGTATTTTTTGGCTAACTAACTAGTGGACAGAGAAGATTCATTAAACCAATAAGTACATTATGAAGATGGTCAATTTTTGAGTAACTGTGACCCACAAAATCTAGAAGCAAACAATATTGTTTCACGATATCAAAATAAATTTAAAAAATCATAGGTAAGAACTTAAGAAAAAGGTATTATATAATTTTAATCCAGTGTGAATTTGTCTTTTGTTTTTCAAGGTTGAATTTTGATGCAGCCAGTGAGCTGTTAGATAGATTCTATGCTATTGCAAAGAACAGGGAGGGCAAAGTTACCTACGAACAGTTTGCAAATTATCTACATTTGCCAAAATCTAATGCACTGGAAGAAGTTTTCTCCCTTTATGATCGTGTAAGTAGAAAAATTGATTTTAAAAAGTGATGCAGATTTGATTTCTTTTGGGAAAAGAAGTCAGAAAAGTAGCTTTGAATGATTTTATATTCATAGATTTTTCAAGGGAGTTTGGTAGGTAAACTGTTCTATTTCCATAGAAAAAATGCAAATTTTAGAACCAAAGATGGAATCTTAAGCACTCATTTCCTCTTTCTCCTCCATGCCCGTTATTCCAAACCCCTTTCTCCATGATTCTATATTACACATATACATGTATTCAATCATGGGTACATGTATTCAAAAATTTTGAGGACTAAAGTATAAAGCATTGAACAAATGTGCATATTTTTTTTGCGAGAGAAATTTCTCTAAGAATTGTTTGAATCTAAATTAAAACTATAAAATATTTTTACACTGTCAGGTATTTTGAGCCAAAAAAAATATATTACACATGAAATTCTTCAAAAATTTTGAGGACTAAAATATAAAGCATTGAACAAAGTGCATATTTTTTTTGCGACCCTAAGAATTGTTTGAATCTATGAGGTTTAATTCACAAAATATTTTTTATTGCCTCTTTGAATGTACAGTTATGAAAGTGAAAGTAAACCTATCGGAGAGTTATTTTTCTTTCTTCATGAAAGGCATAAATGTTTCAATAAAACATCTGATAGATGTTTTTAACCTACAAAAGATAGATAAATAGATTTAGAAAACTGAGTTAATATTGAAATGTAGTTAAATATAGCTGAACAACAGGAAACATTCAATCCTCATTAAAATCACCATTACTTGTTAATATTGTCTTTCAATCTTTTTTTTTTTTTTTTTTTTTGAAAAGGTAAATACAATGAACAGATGAAGTCATTTACGCAGTTGGAATGTTTGAACAAATTAATGATTTTTTTGTAGCAGAAATGCATTATTGTATAGATTTCTTGGTTATTAATTACAGGATGGATCAGGGACGATTGACTTCAGGGAGTACGCTATAGGACTGTCTCTAGTATCCTCTCCCGAAAACACAGAGGAGACCATTCAATTCGCATTCCAGGTAAAAAAAATCTGCTTAGGAAGAAAAGGTTTTCTATAGGTATGAAATGAGGAATGATTTTATGATGTTATAAATAAATTATTTTTTTGAATGTTCATTATGATTTTGATTGTGCGAAGGTTAAAAGTAGGATATATATCATATCCTGACAATGAAATTTTTTTTTTAAATCTGCACAGTTTAAGAATGAATAAGCTGTAAATATTATGAGCTTGCAGCAGGTAACATCTACCAAACTTAATTTCAGATATGCATATACAAGCATTATGTATTTTTTAAAGAAATATAGCAATTTCATCATTTGTCATTTATTATCACTCTTCCTGTTTTCAACAGCTGTTTGATGAGGGAAACAAAGGATACATTACCAAGCCCGAGCTTGGACAAATTCTACATAATGCTTTCAACATGGATGGGCTCGACTCAGATGCTCTGTTTGATGAAGTGGATGTGAATCAAGATGGCAAAATCTGCTTTGGTATGCCAGTTTTTTTTTCATACGCTATATCATTTTCTTCAGATTTTCGTCTTAATTGCTAATTAGATAATTGGGCAGAATTAAATAATTATCATATAAACCAATAATATTATGGTTATTTCCTAGTGATGAAATGTATAGTAGGTGAAAACATTGACAAAGTACATTCAGAGCATTATCTATACTGTTGTGATTATATCTCTACATTTTTATCCCCCTGCTGAAAGTGAGGGATATTAGTTTTGGTTGATCTGTCTGTCCGTCCATCCCTCTGACTGTAGTTCTGTCTGTCTGTAACTCTTTTGTTTCCATGCAATATCCTGAGAAGATTTTGAGCTTTTGCCATGAAATTTTACACAACTCCCTATGACGAAGGGAGACACCTATTGATTTTGAGGTCAAAATGTCAACGGGCAATATCTCGAGAAGCTTTTGAGTTTCTGCAATTAAATTATATACCATAATTCCCTATTACCCCCTCCCTACTTACCTACTTGAAGTGCCCTTCCCCTCTATGACGTGCCCCTCCCCCCTATGACACGCCCTCCCTCCCAGTTTGATTCACACATGCTCATATTTTTTCCTTAACCAGGGGACACAGATTTTCTGAATTAGCTTTTCATTTTGGTAAAGTCATTCAGTCTTCCTTTTCAAATGGTTAACAATAATGTTTAGGTAAAAATCAGGTTTAATGTACATAAAAAAAATATTTCCTCCATTGACAAGATTTCTAATAAATACCATGAATAAAATTACATAGTGGGTAGTACATAATATCACAATTAAATAGGTTTTTGATATGTTACTCGTTATTTAATAATGTCCCCTTTCAGATGAGTTCAAGAAATATGTAGCTGAGAGACCAGAATATTTACCTGTTTTAAAGAAACACATGGAATTGACAAACAATGAATTGGATGATGATATTGGTCTATTGTGTGTTTCAAACTTTCTCCATTTTCTTAATGAACATTATACTGTACATAGCTCTATTTTTTATTATTCTCACTGTTTTTGTGGTTGGGTGTAACCTTGATTCTTCATAGCGGGTAAACTAATTTTCTTATAATGAGCAGCAAAATCATCATTTCTAAAGTTGAGCAAAAATTGACTGTTAAAGAAAATTTAAAAAATCCAAGCTATATACAGTATCTTTTGAAAGTTACATATATGCAGTGGAGTCTCATTAATCTTTGGCCCTTTTAACAAAAAATTTTAGGACTTTAGACAAAATTTTTCCCATTCCTCAACAAGTATCTAAGCTGTAGTAGGACGTCACAAAAGTTTCGCTGAACAATTTACACTAATGTTTACCAAGTCCCGTTCATCGTTCAGGATGCTTATTTTTCCAGACTTTGTTTGGGAACACAATCTTGTTCTAGATTAGTGAGATTTAACTGTACTAGTTTGTGTTTCCTCTATTACTGATTTTTTTTCTCTATGTGAACATTATTAACCCCTTCCATGGCAAAGATTTTAAGCATTTCTAGACAAATAGATATTAAGATTTCAATGCATTTTTCCGGGTATTTCTTATAATTTTTGTATATACCAATGTATATATATTCTGAAAGCAGGTATTGTGTAGTTTCTGAAAATGATTATATAAATATAATTTCAGTTGCCATGGCAACAAAATACACAATAATTATGCTGGAATTTCCATTTATTCAAGAATGAGTTTCATCGTAGTTTTTTTGCTTAGTTAAATAAATTTAAAAATATTTTATTGTTGTGTTTAGAATTATAAACATGTTGTACATTTTTAAAAATCTAATTTAAAGTAATTTAGAGAAATGGGGTGGGGTTTGGAGGTAATCACCAGAATTTGGCATTTTTACATATTACGTGTTACCACCGAATTGATTGTGATAATGGCAAAATCGTTTGAATAGTGCACAAAGTTTAACTCAAGCTAGCAAAATACTGGTACAACCAATAAAAAAAATTTCTGCATAGTATTTTATCGTAATTATTTTCTCTTTCTAACAGTGCAAAAATTATTCTGATATTTGCAGTATTAGCGAAGTTATGAATGTTTGTTCACACTATACTCGTTTTTCAAGTCAGATGCGTAGAAATGCGTATATATGCCATGGAAGGGGTTAAGGAGATGAATTTAAAAGTGGAAGTTGTTTCCAAAGAATTTTTAAATCATGAGTTGTTCACATAAATTGTTCTTAGTGAGAGGAACAACCCAAGTTAGTGTTTGATCTGAAAGTATGAAAAATACATTAAATATCTCCTCTTTTTTGACAACCTAATTTTATTATTAAATTTGCTCCAAAGCATGTACATTATATAAAAGTTCAGTACAGTAACGTTTAATTTTTGATGTTCATGACTATCTTTTATCTTTGCTTACCAGATGAGTTTTCCAAGCATGCAATGAAGAAGCCAGAATATGCAAAGTTGTTCAAGACCTACCAGGATGCAAAAACCAATGGTCACCAGAAACAGGAATAAAAACTGATCTGAGGGCAGCAGCTTAGGATGTACCAAATGAGCATGTGCACAGAGAGAACAGGAAGTGACATCGTTGTCAGTGATGCTGGTGCTTAATTGTGTCTGGTTTAGTTTGTCTTGGTTTTTGTTTATGACAGTATTATTGTTGTCTGTTTCATTTTCGGGGTTATATCTGTGACCTAGTCATGGTTTTTAATTTCTTTGAAATATATGTATGTTTTTATGTATATATACCTTAATTTCTGGAAGGTAGGTTAGTAGTACCATTGTTGGATGTGCTGGTCTATGCTATAACATAGAATTTAATTAGTTTGGTATTAAGTTTGTAGAAAAATACCTTCTATAGAAGAGCTTTGTATGCTTCATTTGATGCAGATAATACAATGTTTTCAAACTTTTGAGATCTGAATGTTATGGATGTGTTAATTGATCTGGATTGAGTTTTTTTTTTTATGACTCAAGTTTGTAAACAAAAGAAAGTAGCTGCCATTTCTGTTTAACCCAGAATATGCCCATCCGTCCACTTAGTTTGAAGTTTTTTCTGATATACTGCATACAGGCAGATTTTCCCCCAAGTTATTTTTGCTCCATCACTTTCCCCAGTTTTGAATTTCACCCACAAACAGTCAAATTAAGGGATATTGCAATGTTTCTTTTGAATTGGCTTTGTTTTTGAATTCATCCATTGGTAACAAGGGCCAATAAAACAAAAAAAACAGGGGCAAAAATTTTCCTGTATACAGTAACATCAACGTAAACATCTTTAAAGGCAAAGGTTCTAAAAGACGTAAATAAATATTAAATAAAGCTTCAAGAATTTATTTGATCAGAAAAAAATGCAGTAATGATCTTCTGGGGCTGTTTCATAATTATTTTATTGCTTGCAAATGTAAGTTTATATACCTCAACTAAAAGGACTCTTTTACTGCTTTCACATTGAATGAATCTTTTATAGCAAAACTTGTGTATTTTCACATGTTATTTGACTTTATATATATATATGCACAACAGCTTATGTACTATATTCATTGATGTTTTTGTTATTTATTCATTAACATAGATTAATACTCATCTCAAAGATATGTAGATTATAAATATACTAAAAATGTACTTTCATTTGCTCATTTTTGTTTTTTTTCTCATTCTGCATATGAGAGCAGAAGTTTTTCTTGAGAACAGAAGTTTTCAGTTTTTTACCCAAGCATCTGTAATAATATGTTCCTTTCTTTTTCATTCACTTGTTTGATATTTAAGAGGTATGAACTGCATCTGCATCATAAACATGTACTTCTAATAAATAAGAATTTTAAACTGTTTTGAGAAGAATTTGTTGTGCACATGTACTTAATTGCTTTTGGTAAACTGAATTAATGGCCAGTTGCAGTGAGGTGTACTTGTATATGTATGATAGGATCTTTACAAAGATATTAGAATTGAAATATATAGTGAAGAGAAATGTAATATTTTTTTCTTCAAAGAATCATATTATGCAGTAATGGTAGCAGTAATAATATCGTTTTTCTTGCTTCGGATTTTCTTTATAGTATGTAGTGTATGCTGGGAAATTTTTGCCCCTGTTTTATTTTTGCCCATTTTGCCCTCATTTCAATTAGACAAATTTAAAACAGGATGAATTCAAAGAAAACATCACATTTCTGAAACAAAAGTATGTTTGGGCGAATTTAAATCAGGGCAAAATTGTTTGCAGGGGTCAAAGGGCAAAAATAACCCTGTATACAGTTGTTTTTTTTTTCATTTGGAAATGATGTTTATATACTTCAGTGATACTTAAAAAGTTCACTATTTAATTGTAAATGCACCAGATGGTAATGTGTGTAGCATTACCTATTTTCATTGGTCTAGTCATTTATCATAGATGGTTTTAAAAAATGTAAATACCGTACGTTGGAAACTGTGCTTTTTTGTGGGATATTTGTGCAATGTGAATATTTTTGATAGAATGGGGAAAAATGTGATAGTTTGTGTACATTATATTTTTAAATTAATGTAAAATGAAATTTCTATTTTAAAAATTCTGTGACAGCTAATGGTGGCTTATCAGCTATTTTGCGATCAGAAGAAATGATTATTTTATTATATGTTTGAATACTGTAAAATGTATGTGGTACATGTAGTAGTTTTAAACAGATTTAGGTACCAAAATTTCTGTGAAGAGCAAAAGATATCTATTTTTAAAAAAGTATTTTCAGAAAAAATGTCAGCCATGTAATTAATAATGTTAAAAAAAGTAAAGTCCTACTATCAATTAATTATATTCTGTAATCAGTCCTGACATGATATATAGTTCCCTTGGAACTAAACTAACTTTCATTCAATATTCACATAAAGAACATCTTTAGGAAAAAAGGTTGATATTTTTTAAATGCACCAGTGGTACAATGAAGCGCATTGAAGTGGTAAAATTTCCCGTTTGGATGAAAAGTTCTGAGTCATGTTTTGAATGTCAATTATAACATAATGACACGCCCATATTTTTAGAAACGAGAAAGAAATATTCGTCGTAGTTTTAGGACACCCCATTCTTCGCGACAAGCATCATGAGTTACACTGAAATGGAGTTTTAAAAAAAATATAAAAGATAGTTAGAGAAGGTAAAACACAAATTGCAACGAATATGTACATATTTTTGAACTTATCATGTCTATTACAGTTACCACAACACGTTTCGGTCGAACACGTGTTTCCTCGGTGTTTATTTAGATCCTCAATTTGACTGGCTATTATGTTTATGTAAAACCTGTTCTACAGGTATATGAAGAAACAACTTGACCGTTTTATCCATTTCTAAAGAAATGGGCGTGTCATAAGATGATAATAAACACTCTAAAGATAGCTCAAAACGTTCCATTCGAACGGGAAATTTTACCACTTCAATGCGCTTCATTGTATCTATAATGTGTGTATGAGTAAGTTATTTACACTTTAATATGCACATACATATATATTCTTAAAGCTTCTTTGTATTGTTTTATTTTTCATTTGTTCTCAAAAACAGTCATTGACAATTGCAAAAAAGTTACGTTTTTTTAAAGTGCATTTATATATAAATTGTCTTATTTTCATTATTACCTTAGGTCATCAGATCTTAAAATGTGAAAAGTCACTTATAATTTAACTTGATTTTCATTCTTTTTCCAGTTAAAATACTTAACCATTTTTGGCATCCAAGACTTAAGCATAGATCTACTAGTATTTTTCCCTTTACCAGTATTTTTCGATAATAGCTCCTCAAATGATATTACTGGCTCAGTTCAAACTTTTTATTTACCTCAGGGTCAAATGTCATCAGGTCTTTCTCGGCATTTTGGAAGTTACATGACTGTTCCTGTCTTTCTGTTGATTGGCAAAGTTAACATGATCTCTTGTGTTTTCTATTAAGTGTGCCTGTGTCAATGTGTGACTTTAATGATCTGTGATGTCTATTCACAACATTTTGGATAAATAAAAGATTCTCTTAAACTTGTTTGTTGAAATTTTTTAAGACCAGAAGCTTTGAAATATTTTACCACATAATAGAATGAATCATAATCTCTCTGAAGAAAGACAACTAGTAAAAAAAAATCTTTTTCCATCTTTAGAGTCAAAACTTGAAGAAACTCAGGAGGCCAGGGGTCGATTCTTGTTCAGTGCACCACGTTGAACCTGGGGTGTAAACGTTCCTTCGCCAAGTGCTGGACACAAGAAGTGAAAAGTCTTTCGAATGAAACATTAAAAACGGAGGTTCCATGTCATGGCAGACATTGGCTTGAAAAAGAACCCTCAATGCTCATGGCTGTGAGGATTCAAATTGAGGTTTAAGTTTCAATCCTTTCACTATTTCATGGCAATATCTATAGAGGTACATGTACAAGGGGAAAAATTCTCAAATGCGAAGTACATGTAAAACGATACACAATATAAGGTGCTTATACTTGATACACTGTTAAAGGTACTTGGACACAGATTTGAAGTTATTATTTTCTCTATAATATTACGACTTTTATATTTTAATAGCATTTCACACGAAAATTAATTAAAAATCTATGGTGGCATATTTCTGCCCTTTGTGTGCAAGTTATTTTTCTGTCAAATATGTCGACATGCAAGATAGATATGTTGACATGCAAGATAGTTATGTCAACATGCAACATAAATATGTTGACATGCAAGAAAATTGAAATAAAATAAAAATTATAAAAAATCTTCAAAAATCTCAAATATTGCCCACATGTGACATCAAACTTGCTAAATGCTAATTATTTATGTTAACATGCAAGATAAATATGTTGACATGCAACTTAGATATGTTACCATGCAACTTATTCATGTTGACATGTAACTTATTTATGTTAACCTGCAGCTTATTTATGTTGACATGCAACTTATTTATGTCGACACGCAACTTGGTTATGTTGACATGCGAGATAATATGTTGACATGCAACTTATAAGTTGCATGTTTACATAGATATGTTGCATATTTACATAAATAAGTTGCATGTCAACATATTCATCTTGCCTGTCAACATAAATAAGTTGCATGTCAACATATTTATCTCGCATGTCAGCATAACTAAGTTGCATGTCGACATAAATAAGTTGCATGTTATTAATAAGTTGCATGTCCACATACATAAGTTGCATGTCAACATGATTTAGTTGCATGTTAACATATCTAAGTTGCATGTCAACATAAAACATAAATAAGTTGCATGTCGACATATTTATCTTGCATGTCAACATAAATAAGTAGCATAAATAAATTGCATCTAGCATGTTGGATGTCACATGTGGGCGATATTTGAGATTTTTGAAGATTTTTTATAATATTTATTTGATTGCAATTTTCTTGCATGTCAACATATTTATGTTGCATGTTGACATAACTATCTTGCATGTCAACATATTTATCTTGCATGTCGACATATTTGATAGAAAATTAACTTGCACACAAGGGGCAGAAATATGCCACCATAAAAATCTTATTTCGTTTAAAAGATATTGAAATTTCAAGTTTTTCGGCGGGTTTGATTGACATATCGTTGAACTCTCACAAATTTAATTTTATTCTTAATCCTTAGGAAAAGTGGCAATCTCATTTTGTATAAATGAAAAATATTAATACTATAATCCAGAAAATTCAGAGTAGACACGTTCGAAAGCAAAACAAACACACAATATATTGTCAGTCCGTGCAGTTGTGGTAAGCAGACTGTGACCATTGAACGCACCCAGTGAATTCTGAATATAAACAATAACAGAACTCTAGCCCTGTTTACAAAAACTGTGTACATAACACGAGTGTGCTCGATTTGCTAAACTCTGCACGCATCTCTTAGTTCGGAATGACGATACTTGTGAAGGTGTTTTGCTTTCTAACATTTCTACTCTGAATAAAATTATTTTTCTTGATAAAAGTTTTAATTTTTCTCATTAAAACACATCAAAATTGCCATTTTTCCTAAGGATTAAGAATCAAGTTAAAATTTGTGAAAGTGCAAGGATGTGTCAATCAAACCCGCCAAAAAATATAAAGTTTTAATAACTTTTAAATGAAATAAGATTTTTAATTAATTTTTGTGTGAAATGCTATTAAAATATATAATTCGTGATATTATACAGAAAAAATGAGAAAATATTAACTTCAAATCTGTGTCCAAGTACCTTTAACTTCTGAAACAAGGATCGGCCAGGATTTTAACCAAATGTCATTTCAGCAAATTCAAAGGCCATTGGCAGAAAAGATATAAAAACCCATGTCTGAACTAAAATTTTGCAAAGACGCATCACTTGAAGCACATACTCGGTACCAAAGTTGCCAATGTTATTGGGTTTACTTTGACCTTTTACCCAAAAAAGTCCATGGTCACTAACAAAAGAGTATTAAAACCAGATGTGTTTGTGAAACACTGATGTCCATGTATGGCAACATGAAGATTTAATTTTTCTTAAATGCAAACTAAATATGTTGTTACTCAAAGTAAGGTCTTCTCACAAGAAATACAATTGTGATATATGAAAGCCATGGAACCACCTGTTCAAAAGTTATCGCCAAGGATAAGTTGCTGAAAGGTAGGTCACGCTCCAGGGTCAAGGTCAAAGGGTCAAGGTTGTTGGTTTGTAAAGAAAGGTCTTTCACAAGGATTATATATGTGAAGTATGAATGCCATAGCCCTAACTGTTAAAAAGTCATGGCAAAGGTGAAAGTTTTTAAAAAGTAGGTCAAACTCCAAGGTCAAAGTTATTGGTATCAAATGAAAGGTTTTGTCACATGGATTAAATATATGAAGTATGAAAGCTTAGCCCTAACCCTTCAAAAGTTATGGTCAAGGTTTGTTTTCAAAAGTAGGTCAAACTCCAAGGTCAATGGGTAAAAGATGTTGGTATTCAATGAAAGGTCTTCTCACATGGATTACATATGTGAAGTATGAAAGCCCTAGCCCTTAAAATGGTTATGGACAAGGTTAAAGTTTTTTTAAGTAAATATCCAAGGTCAATGATTAAAAAATCATTGGAACCCTTCTATTGGTCCCGTGTTTGTTTTTGACTTGAGGGTGTGTCCTTGACCTAGTTTACGCAAGTTCAATTTCATTGGTATAAGAATTGTAAAATTCGAAATAGATTTATGATTTCTACAAAAATACCAGTTCAAAGAAAATGTTTGCTGTTACATTGTGTTTTTTTTCCCCATGTGATCGTAGTGCTCAATTTCTATTCATATCATTTTGCCGTTCCGTGTTCCTCAACTCCTAGCTCTTTCACAATTCCTCTTCAAGAATATATAGGTACAGGTGAAGTGCTGTAGACCAATCTTGGATCGAAAAACAACTCTTTTTTTAGTTCCCAGAATTCCTTGTTACCAATCAAATTATTACCGGGTATTTTAAAAAAAATATTATTAATGATGTCCTGTTTCTATTCAATGTGGTGTCAGAATCTTCGTTCCAACTTTATGTCGACTGAAAGATGGAAAAAAAGTGTTTTTTTTTAATATAAAAAACCATCTTCTCAACGCCTACAAGGTACTACATTGCTATGCAGTTTTGGAACCTGATTGGCGGTGTCTTGAAGATATGCAAAAAAGTTTTGGGCTTATCTTTTTGATCCAGCAAGGAGACTTAATCGGACCGAAAATCATATATGTTCAACTTAAAAATTTTCTTTGCTTAATTTTTAAAAGGAAGTTTCCAACCGGTGATGAATTTATAGTATAAATTACTAGTACTCAAATAACTGATTTACAATCCCTTTGCTCCTCTAAACTTTTTGAAAATCAACCTCGATAATATAAATTATAATTAATTTTTACAGTACTTCTTTTGATACACAGCTGCATTGAAATGGTTTCAGAGGTAAAAAAAAAAGAAGAAGAAGGAAATATGCTGAGCATTGCTGTATAATCAAAGAATCTCTACAGGCTTGTTAAACCGTTGCAGTATACATTCTTATAGCCATGTTTTTTTTACACGGTAAACATGCATAGTTCTTGTTTCTAACCCTTTGTTTGACATACTGTTGACTTCTATATAGAGACAAGGCTGTAAAAGTCTTGATTATTGAAATTCTGCCAGGTTTATATCATATATTTAATTTCCACATATAGCACATTATTATAGATTGTATTTTTTTTATGTGTATTATTTTATAGTCGTCGTAGACAACAATCTGGGAGTGTACAATTCCCAGCCTTGGCCAATAACTCGTTCACTATCCATTATGATTGACTGAAGCCGGGTTCTGAAGAGCTGAATCCTGCATATTATTCAGCTTTAAAAAATGCTTGGTTGGAAGTAGAAAATGAAAATCTTAATTTAGGAGATGCTAAACATTATACTTGCAATTATTTTGTCATTGATGCTGATAAAGACATGGGGTGCACCTAAACTTATTTCCTTTTTCTGTTTTTTTTTTAATCTAACATATTTATTGTCGAAATATATAATATATGTTTTCCAACAGCAAAACACTGCCATTTCTTCATAATGGAGGTACATGTACTCGAAAAATTTTCGGGTGAGTGTATTGGCCCATGCGCCTCACTTGAACCGGTGGGTTTTGCAATGAAACCTCATTACTAAATATAATTACATCTCTGCTATTTAACGAGGCCCGATCTAGTTGAAAATTACGAAAATGGAATGATAAAAAAATTTAATTCTTGGAAATATACTTGTATGTTTTATGCTTAGATAAATTAGAATGAAATTTTGTTACCTTGCCTTTATTGTAGTGAAATGGGGGCATGTATATGGACCATTTTTCGTGTTTTTATACACAATTACATTCTTCAATAAACAAAGAAATTTACAAAATAAAAAAAATACATGATGAAATTCTTTGTTTTTCACATATATCATGCAAATTTCTAGCCTTTATTGCAGTGAAAAGGGGGCATGTCAAAACACAAAATTGAAAATATTCTATCCAACTACGTATTTTATAGGTCGCAATGGGTTTACATAACACTAACAAACGATTGCAATACTGTATAAGTTTCTAAAAAATAAATAATTTTTACATTAGGAATAATTTTCTCACCATGTTTTAATTTTCTCTTAACACGCGACGTTGTTTTACGTGGAAAATAGGGGTAGAAAGGGGGGGGGGGGGGGTAAAGGCGACAAAATTGCGATTTTCACTAATATCATGTAATATATGGAAAACTAAAATATTTCTGGGGTTCAATTTAAATGATTTATAGACTTATTTTATTTTTTAAAACTGAAGGTAATCCATGCATATTTAAGTCCGCAATAAAAAGAGTGTGACTGTATAAACACTTCAACATGTTCTAAAATCGTTTAATTTTAGTTGCAGTGTTTGTTTTTTTGATCTCACAAACTGAAATAAAACAGGATAAGATTAATGAAACTGTACCAAAAAATTGATCCCTCAAAATTAATTAGGTTTCAAAGTTGTTTATTAATTTAAATACTGTAGAAGTACTTTTTTCCGCGTGGTATTAATTTACGCTATGTACGCGCTCACAATTTTTCCGCGGAAATTTGTCCAAGCGTACTTAATATAAATGTAAGGCATATATAGTGACAATCTAGAAAATCCGCGTATTTGTGATTCCGCGGAATTATGAAAAAAAGTACGTTTACAGTATTTAAAAAAAATAATAGAAATGCCATTTCAATTAAATATAAGCAAGATTTTTAGCGCAATTTGACGTCATTTTAATTGTGACGTATTGTAAAAAAAAAGTCAAAAACGTATGCGCAGATCAAATAAAAAAAATCAAATGTAAATAGAGAATTAATTTTTGAAAATGTTTATATGCTTTTTAAAATACATTAAGAAGACATGAACTTCAGGATAACTGCTAAACATTCAATTAGACTGGTAAAATCGAATTTCTTAGATTGCTTGTAATCACCTCATTGTTTGTTTGGAACACCTCATTTCATTTTTAAATAAAAAGGGGGGAAAACGCAACCTTTTTGATGATGCAGATGGTGTTTATTAAGATACGATTTAGTAAAATTAAGTCACATAACATTCTGGAATAATTAAATTTAGCAATAACAGTATCAAGGAAGCAATAATTTTCAGTTCAAATTACTGCTCAATTCATCTATCGTATACCGATTTTTTTGTAAATTTTCATTTTTATATGAGACTTATCACAATATTCCCCTCTTTTTTAAGTCTACATATAATTTTATCTATAGCTCAGACCCTAACTCTAATTAATTGCTAGTATTAGCCCTTGATCCTAGCCTGAGCCCAAACCCTAACCCTAGGTAACTCGATGAGCATTTCTGAAGCGGATATTAGGATGAACTTGCCCCTTGCTATTGTTCACTCTCGAAGAAATAACATTGGCCGATCTTGACAGGGTCACCATATCATACGGGTATTTGTACGACCTAGGAACAGTTTGTAAGTAAACATTCCTGGAACTGTTGTTAGTATCTTCACATTTAACACCCTGTTTCGTGATGGACAAAAACTTTTCTTGTGCCTTTCTCGGTTTCAAAGGTTTTAGAACTTGTGCCAAGACATTTGGGTCAATTAGTGTTTGTTCATCAGTCATTCCGCCTTTTGTTAGACCTCGAAAATGGTCCGCAACCAACCAGTTATTGAGATGGCACGAAGGCGAGTTGAGCTCGCAACAAGGTTGTGTGTTGTCTTTTTGAAGGTTTTCGAACGTTTGAGACACGATTTGGTCAAATTCGCCAGAAATGTGCTTCAGCTTTTCTACGGAAGTTTCTTCTAATAATGAATTAAAATCCGCATCAATGCATGAAGCATACAGCTCAGGTAATTTCTTCTCTGATATGGCCTGCAAAAGATATGATAATAAAAATTTATTACTCCTTTAATTATAAATAACTATACTGTAATGATGATAATGAAAAAAGAATGAAATACTCTAACCTCAAGATTACGAGGAATGGTGATAATATTTCACGGATTGCTTATTTTACTGAATCAGCAAAATTGATAATAATTGTACTTGGCTTTTAACTGGGTCTCATTAAGTCAAATACTAGTATTCAAAACTGCGTTTTCTTGGATAATGTTTTTAATTAAGAAGCTCTTCATTTTCTAGAATTCCACTAGATCCATAAAACGTTATTTTTTCATGTCCAAGAAATGTATGAAACTTTTTATTGAAAAAAAGATCCATAAACCAATTATTTTCTTCTAAATAACATTGTCTAAAATAACAGAATTAGAGATCCTTTATTACATTTAAAGCAAACCTTAGAAAATATTTCAGAAGAAAGCTTTGGATTTGCCTCTGGGAGATCTTCTAAAATTGACCAATCATCAGACTCGAATTCACATTCCAGCAAGTCATCCAATATGGCGTCATATTCGCTGCATACGATTGGCTCTCCGCTGACAGACACTTTGCTGTTAGTTTCAAGGTCGTTCAGATCTAGAAGAAGCTCGGCCAACTTTTCGGAACGAACGGTTTTAGAGAAACATACACCTTCGCCGACAATCAACTTCCGGGTGATATCACTGAACTCCTCCTGGATCAACTTTCTCTGCTGCTCTCGCTTCTGTTGGGCCATTTGAAGAATGGTGTCCCAGATGTCGAGGATACTTTGGAATAGAAGCTTACGATACAAAGCTTGCATGTCTGTCTTCTTTGATACTTTTTCTTTGACTCCCTGTAGTTCTGATTTGAATTCTTCCATCAATTTAGTGTAAGCTTGGCTTGATATATTATAGACGAATTCTAGACGTCTTTTGAGTTGTTCGTATTGCTTGGTTGGGTTTGATTTCAGAAAACTTGTCATAGCTGCATTAAGGGTAAAATCATCTTTGTTGTTGTCTAAAATATATTTCAAAGAACATAAAAAATTATTCAAAAATGATTCGAAATCTTAGAGTACCGAGAAACAAGATATAGAGTTGTAATTTGCTGTCCAGTGTTCATGTAAATGAGATATTGTTGAAGAAATATATTATTTTATCTCTTTAAAAGAAAATGACTTTACATTTGAGTACCTTTCAAATCATGTCGACATAAACACCGGACAGAATTAGATAACAATTATATATTAGAAAGCTATTCCGTAGTTTATTGGAAATCCAATTCCTGTTACCTTGTCCTCATCATTTTTTTTTTTTTTGGAACCGGTTCAACTTCTCATTGTGTCAAGAATTAATTTCGAACGTTTTAATTTTTATTACAAAATATTGAACCAGACAAGAAATTTGAGAAAAAAATCCAATCTTTGTGACGATTGCACTCTTCAACATAAAACATTGCTGGTGAGTCTGGAGAGTGAGTGCTTTCTTATTGTACATACACAATCACTCAAAATGCCTTGAGCAAACATTAAGGTTCAACATCCCTGTGCTGATTCAGTAAAATGTATCTTTAAAGAGAATGATTTTAGAATAAAAAATAATCTAATATTTGAATGAATTGTGAACAATATCAACATACCTTGCAGTGCAGATTTAATAGAAATTTATTGGTGTATTTTTCCTTGACAGTTCTTAAATTAAGTGAATTATAGTAATTTAATCAAGGGGAAAGTCATCTCCCTTACCATAGGTTCAATACACCTTGAGCTTGATTTAATGAAATTGGGAGGTAAAAAGAAGAGAAAAAAACGACGTACTTTTATTGTTTGTTATTGTTAATGATAATCATTGATGTAGATTTTATATGAGCCCCAAATCAGTTTATGGGATTAAATCTGCATTTATACCCTCGATCATTAAACTGAAGTTGTTTTTCTATCCATCATATTCCGAATTGATCTCGCACTTTTTTTTTATTAAAGTGCACGTTTTACCGAGTATAGTTGAAATTTTATATCATAGTGCACGCCAACGCATCTCAAGCCTTGAAAACACACCGATAGATCATTAATATAACGTAGTATTGCAGAAAGTCATTCACATCCATGTGCTTGGATAATTAGTTTTATCGTGAATTATTTTCTTTCCTTTTATTAGATATTCCAAACAAATGGAAAAAATTACTTGAGACTAATAGCGAGAATTCTGGAAACAATGACTGGTCGCTATAGCAATGTCGAAGTCTAGTTAGAAAGGCACTGGTTAAAAGGACAATTTAAGGGCCTCTGAAATTTTAGTTTTTGTCATTAATCCTTGTCCTGCAATCGTGTTATAAAAACAACAACAAACCTTTAGGTTTCTTCTTTTGTGTAGAATGGCGGTTTTCATCATTGGTTGCGCTGTAAGCTCTTTGGTAATACTTTAACTTTTCCTTGCTACCAAGAGTCTCCCAAGCATTTCGCATTATCGCCTCCACTCCCGCAGAATCAAGATCCTGATGAGTTTGCTGGAAATGTCGACGGTTTTCGCTAAAAGGACAAAATTATTTTCATGTTTCATCTTGTATATTCATTTATACAGTGAAAGTCAATTTGGTTCATGTATGAAACTCTGCTTTTTGTATATGTTATTGCATTGAAACACTGGTAATACACTGTTTTACCTTGACCACAGAATACTGGCATGTTTCCCTATAGTCTGGTTCTGCAAAAGGGCAAGGTCGAAAGCAGAGGTTCTGGTTGGCGTTGACGGCTTTCCACTGCAGAGAAAAAATATTTCCTTCATTGTTTTGAACTTTGATGAGTATCTTTAACGGTAACACTAAGCTCGAATCATAAAAACAATTATGATACTAAAATGGCTTTTAGAAGAAGTCTTCATTAGCACGCTTCTTGCCATATTTTAAAATAGAAGAGAGCAAAGAATAAAGTTTCATACAACTCACCCTTTTTGTGATCCTTTTTGTATCTTTTTCCTTTCTGTGGAATTGTTTCCTTTAAGCTGCTTTCGGTGAATCTTCCCTTTACTACGTGGAGACTTGAGATCAGTCTCCGGATTTTCTAAAGCGTTCGTGATCTCACCTTCTCCGGATCGTGTCCTGCTTCGGGTCTGTGTTTTACCTTTGTCGCGGGAACCAATGTATATTTTCTTATTCTGCTGCACAGGGCTTTTAGCTTTATTTTGGTTTGTTTTATTTGACTCTATTTTGACGTTCACCTCTATTGTTCTAGAAGCTGACGGATTCCCAGAGGAACACGAAGCAGCCAAACGAGGCAGAACAACGACAGGTTTATTTTTAAGTTTTTGCACGTTTTTATCGACTATTTTAGCCCCCTGGTTTGTCTTTCGCATCACAATTTTGATTGGTTTCCGTTCTTTGTGTACGTTGGTTTCCTCAATCGTTTGACTTGCAGGATTTTGGTTGATGGAACTGGAACTGGTTTTTGGCTCTGATTGATCAGTGGCAGTAAGAACTGTTTGTTGGTTAGAAGTTGTGGCAATGTCAGTAGTCTTATCTGATGAAATATCTTCTGTAGGAGTAGGTCCAGATTTTGCGCTGGAACTTATGTTCCTAACAACAGACAGGTGAGATGTAATAACAGTTTCTTCTGTATGGGCTGCACATGATGATGATGAAGATGATGATGATTCTTTGTTCTTTGCTTCATCAGTTTTCTTTGAATCTTCTACCTCAGTAAGAATTGCATTCAAGATATCTGTAATCACACCATAGTTTTCACTTGAAACTACAGAAAATGAGTTTTCAATCTTAGGACTATTTGATTGCAACATACTAATTTTGCAGTCAATCAAAGCTTGTTTTTCATTGATTGTATGCTTTTCGTCATCCTGGTCGTGTTCTTCATTTCTAGACGCCTCTGGACGTTTCGGCAATGTGTCTTGAAGGGAGGGATTATTATTATTATTGGTTAATTCACATTGACTGTTTTCTAGGGAAATGTCTACGGTGCTTGTCGTTGCATTATTACTGCATTCTGACACATCTAAATTTTTCATTTTGTTATTTTCTTCACCATTTTCTGTTTCTTCGATCTCTATATTCGATTTCTGAACTCTAAATTCACCTTTACTTTTCAGTTTGTTGTCTCTAGGTTGACTTGCGTTTTCTTTTTTCTTACGATTATCCTGCGACATAGTCTTGGTTGTCTTTGATTGCTCCACACCTCTCCTTTCAGTTGTTCTGTATCCCAGTAGACTCTCTTTAATACCTTCTTTGGCTTTAATTGTCTGTTTTGTGTCATTTTTACTTTCATTATTTGTCAACCCTAAAGCATCTTCTCTATGTTCATTTACTGTATTAGTTCCCTCGGACAATTTCTGTTCACAGCGTTCACGTTTTGGGGTTCTTCTTGTTGCCATTCCAAAAGAATTTTGGTTGGCCTGCAGATTGTTATTTTGTTTTTCCGTAAGGTTTCTGACCTTTTTCTGGGCCTGATAACGCTTAACAGTTTCGGTTTTACCATTAGCGTCTGTCTTTGAAATATTCTGCACATTTTTGCTGCTTCCCGCTTCTTCGTGTTGTTGTGTACTAGTCGAGTGTCTGGAAACATTTGCTGATGTTTTTGCGCTCTCCTCGTGATCTCGTTTCTTCACAAGTTTATCTTTCAATGGCTTTTCAGTATTATCACCTAAAGTATCTGGGAATTCGAGTAATAATGATCTAGCAGACTTTTTCTTCTTCAAACTAGATTCCGGTTCACGACAGGTAGGCAACTGGTCAGAAAAAGACTTCGCTTTAGCAGACGTCCTCTTTTCCTGAAGTCTCGCACTGCGCTTTGGGGTCACCATATTATCGTCAACGGTACTCGCACAACTTTTTTCATCACCTCTTTTGTCATTGCTATTAATATTCGAGGTCGAAAAATGATGTTTGTTTAAACTGATATTTTTATCATCATCTTTTTTGTCATCAGTAATATCCTTGAAGTTCGGAACGGGATGTTTGTCTTTCTCTTTGAGTTTACAATTCTTTTTTGATACACATTCTTCCTTGAATATAGAGAAAAGTTCCTTTTCATTAACGCCTGCTTTTCTTGATTTAGTTATATCTGACTCAGATTTAGAAGAAACGGGTTCACATTTAATTGTACTCTTGTCTAAGCAGGGAAACGTATTTGAAACCGACCCTTTCACATTTTCAACACCATTCTTTGAAAATTCTTCAGTTTTCACCAAGAATTCAACGTAAAGATCAGCAAAGCTTCTTCTTTTGTTGACGTTAAGAGCGTTCGAAGAATTTCCCCCGTTTTTTGTTTCATTAGTGTTTGTTTCCTGCGATGACGTCTTGATTTTTAAGGTGGCTTGCTTCTTCGGTGTAAGGCGTTTAAAACGAATTGGCAGAATTCCTTCCCATAATTCATCATCTTTTACTTCGCTGCGCAGTTTCTTTCTCCGTACAAAGGTTTCCTCATACAATTTTCTCTTCGTTTTTTCTTTCTTTGTTATTTCGGGTTCAGGTAGTTTCGCATCTTTAAGTTCTAATCCACTTCGCAAGGACCTCTTGCTATCGTCTGGGGACAAGTTCTTGGTCCACGAATCCTCCATTCTCTTGAGTTCTCGTTCTTGATAAGATTTTTTCTCCCTGCTTTTTGGTGTCTCTTTACAAATTGCCTCTGAATTTTTAATTGTATTGATATTTGGCGATTCGTATATCGTATTCTGTGTTTCAGATCTTTTTTGGCGTTTTTCCTCGCTCGATTTTAAAGGTGTGTTAGTAAAAGAGGAATGTGAAGATTTCGATGGCGTTCTACCAATTTGATAATTTTTACTTGCATCCGATTTACCCGTTTTTCTTCCAGAATTTGAGGGAGAGTTCAGCTGACGCGCCGATCTAGTATTTGAAGCTGGAGAATTAAAAGTTGTACTTGTAATTTCTCTGCTCGGGGTTCTCTCGACAAAAGTTTGTCTTTCTTGAGGACTTGACAGAGTCATTTTCCTTCCTCTGTCTGGTGTATAAGAAGATGTACTCACTTTTCTTTTATGACTATTTGGCGTGCTCTCTCTGCTGACGGCTTTCGGTGAGGAAGATTTCTCATTGTCCCCTGGAAGTTGTTTTCTTCTTGCTTGTAACTCCGACCGGCTTCTTTGTAAGTATTCTTTCTCGCTTCTACTTTTTCTGTCCATTTCTGATATCAGACTTATCAAAGCTTTTAGAGTGAATGAAACAAACGCAAGGAGGTTGACTTTTGAAAAGAAAACTTTGTCAAAGCTGTTAATGATCTACTATGACGTCAATTATTTGATCATCTTATTGTGACGTCACTCCTTTAATTTTAAAATTCAATATTCCCCAACATGCGATAAATTTCTTAAATTAAAAAGAAATATATTTAAAACTGATCATTGTAGAATGATTACGACCCTTTTCAGTCACTTCGCAACGCAAATAAATTTGATATATATCATTAAAATTCAATTTAATATATAGGTTTTAAAATATTTTTTAAAAATCCAACCGAGTAAACAAAAAATAAAAAAATAGTTTTGTCCATGCGTGTCGTTGTTATTCGGATAGTCCATCATTGCAAACCAAAAGTTGAAGTTGATAATCAAAATTTATTTTGAGTAGAGACATAAAATAAGATGTTTAAATTTTTTCCCTCTAGGGAATTATTCGTCTTTTTTTCGATGAACGCATGAATATTTTAATGTTTTATCTACATTCTTTATGATATTTTGATTATGACCGTAAAAATAATGCATATCGAATCCGGACATTAACTGAGTGCATGAATCCCCATCCCCAGACTTGGAAGATTAATGCAAATCTTTCTTCAATAATCACTGTCTTTTCCAAATGCATGGGTTTGTCACAGTGAGGAGTTTATCCCACTCATTATCTCCGTATTTTAAGATTTTAATAATGTAAAAATATACCCACATGTAACTTTTTTTTTAAATTAAGAAGTTATATAAATTGATTTTCTCTTATTAATTGCACTGTTCAAAACTTGTTCATAAAAGTGATTCAAGGAAAATAATTGCGATAATTACAGAAAAGGTTTTTGGGCGTTAGCTTCTATTTCATTTATGATTACGCCGATCATTAGAAAAATCGGCTCAGAAAAAAAAATATGCAAACGTTAGGCAAGGTTCCCATACAGATAATATTAAGGAATTGATTTTTTTTTTCAATTAAAATGTTACGTTGAAACGACAATCGTGTCGCGAGATAGGTACTACAGTATTTAGCTGCAGAACTGTAGCTCTCTGCTGAGAAAATTAAAATTCGGACAGATAAAGCATTTATGTGTCCGAATTTTATCAAACAGAAGCTAAAGTTCTGCATCTAATCAGATATACTTCGATCTTTGGTCAGTCATTTTCCTTAACCGGAAATTAAACGATCCTATTTGTGAAGACAATGGAGTTTATAATAAAAGTAGTCTTATTTACTACAGCTTATCACTTTTACTATAATAAGCGCCCCCCCCCCAATAATACACTGTACATGTATTTCATTTTACTTTGCATTAATTCATTCTGAAGCTAATCTGGCCCAAATCCATACTCCACGCAACTGTCTCTACTATAATACTATTGTCTGTAATCTAAAATATATTGTATCTGCTATCTATTTATTGTATCAATAAATACAATAATGGAAATCTGATTAAGACAAGTTAATTAGAATAGGGTAGGTATTTAGATATGAACTTGACAATAATACACATTTAATTTAAAAAAATATATGGTTTCAGGTAAACTTTTAGCTGGTAATTACTATAGTTCAGAAAACGTACATAGATATCTATAATGGGAAATTATCGATGGTTGAACCACCGGAGATTCTTTTGATGAATATTAATTGATAGGTAGGAAAAGAAAATAAAAAGAAAATTATATCGCTTAGGCCTATATACTATTCCCTCGAATGCTACAATTCTGATTTCAAACAACGCCCTTTTGTCTTCAAATTTGTTCAGAGAGAGAGAGAGAGAGAGAAAGAGAGAGAGAGAGAATGGCATTTTAGCTTTGACAGATTTATTGAGGTGGACCCTCGTTCTTAATTTGGTCCACAAAGAGTAAACTCTTGAAGTTTTACAAACATGTACGTATACATACTCATTTTGGAGAACTTTTTTTCAATTCCAGGCTGTTTTACTGTGCATTTCTTTACATTGTGTCACAATTTAGCAAATGTACAATTGTCGTTTATTGACTTTTATTTGAAAATTAAAATAATTACAAGACAATGTAATCATGTACTTATTTTAATTTTCAAATAAAAATCAGTAAACGATACAGTTTTCAGAATCTGAACTAATGTTCAACATGGCAATTTCTTACAGATGAGAAAATTTAACACAAGATAAGAACGGATAGACCCCGGAATATGAGGATTAAGCATCCCTTGTTGATCTGCAAATGTCACAATATATTTCGTGAGCCCTTTGAGTTGATCAGGTAAGTGTACCATCTCCCCCACGGAATAGGAGTTTGGGCATATTTTTTTAATTTGGCTTGTCAACTTTTTCAGGTAATTCAATTTTTTTTCTCTGGCTCCCCCCCCAACTTTCAAACACGATGCTACTTGGCTGAAGATAGCCTTTTATTCAAATGTAAATTACGTCATTTCCGTTTCGCACAGAAACTCACTCACCCACACACATACAAATACGATTGCATTATAGTATATCCCCTCCAACTCCGTTGCGAGGAGATAATAAACGGACCTCCCCTACCCCGATACAACGTGCATGCAGAATACACTCGAT